CCCCCCCCCACACGCACGTTTCCCCTGTTCCAGCTGACAAACACAGTGATTCGGAAGCTCTTTGCATCTTTATTTTAAACCACTCTCATCTGAAAGAGCTGGACCGAGCACTTGGGAGGCCACGAGGGGTGGCAAGGACAAATGCACATGCTCTTGATGGCTGGCGTCCCTCTCTCTCTTTATTTTTAACGCCGCTTGGCTGATAATGGTAAGGCAGCATAATGACTGGAGAACAATAGACGCAGCACGATGGGTCACAGCTTCCGCGTGGGCGGAGAGCTGCCAGCCTTCAGCAAGCGTTTAAAATTCTTATTTTCATTAATCGAGCGTCAGCAATTGTCATTAGGAGGAGAGACAAAATTAGCTTGGCAGGGTCTTCTTCCCACCCCTCGCTGCCCCACCCGATGTCCCTGGGATTCAGCTCGGGAGGGTTGGGGGAGCCCGCCCCATGAACAAAAAATGAACGGGTTTGAATTTTCTTCTTCAATCCACAATGTTAATCGATTTGGCTGGAATTCAGCTGAGGAAGGAGTCCGGCTCTGCTTCGAGGAGGGTTATTTGAGGTGCTGCAGAGGCACGTCATTGAGATTGGGGGGACAAAGTGAACCAAAATACCAGATTCTTGGAGAGGAAACGTGGCTGGGATGTGCTGCCTGCCAGTTGCAGCTTGGGGCTGGGGGAGCCAAGGGTTTAATGGGGCCAGTGATTTTTTGGGGGTAGAGGATGGCAGCATGACATCTGTTTTAATGGAATTTGTTTGGGGTTTTTCCCCAGGCGGGGAGGGGGAAACACACCCTAACTTTCTTGGAGATGTGTCCCATTTTAAGGGATCAGATGTTGGGACCCCAGACTTACTCACTGGCTCGGGATCGCTGGGTTTCGTTCCCTGCTCTGCCAGTGTCTCGCTCTGGGCCCTTCAGCACATCACTTAACCAACCTGCTCAGAACTGGCCCTGGACGTTTGCGGTGCTGCGGCTGGTTTGGGCACTCGGCATCGTGTGCTCAGGGCCTGGCTTTCTCAGAGGATGTGAGGCTGATGGCTGAAGTGGGTGGAAGCTCTGGCTGCTCAGCATCCCATCCTGGCAGCTCAGGGGGGGCTCCCTAAATTAGCAGATACCCTTGAGAATTTCGCCCTGTGTTTTGCGTTCTCCGGTGGTAGCGCAAGGGTTCTGTGTCTGTCTGAAAGCCAAAGGAAAAGCCGGCTTCTGGGGGCTAGCGCTGCTTGCAGCTGAACCAAGCGTAACCTCTTAGGAGAGATCCCTCTTGGCTTAAGGCTTGTGAGCAATGGGGAACCCACCTTGGGCACGTCGGCTGTTCCAGGGGTTATTTCACCTCCCTGTTTAAAAACACGTGCCCTTTTTGAGCCTTCCACAGCCGATCTCATGTTCTCAGCTTTCACAATGCTCTACCTTGGCTCCAGTTCCCCACTCCTCGGGGCTGCTGGCTGGTTTGCCACACATGCCAGGCATCCGAAATGCTGTTTCTGATGAAGTTTGGAAGTTGTTCGTGTCAGCTGCCCCCCACCAGCAAGGAGCATGGGGAGTGCCTGGCTCTGGGATGCCCATAAACGCATCCCATAGCAGGGGAGCTGGGGAACCCCCAGCAAGGCCTTTGGCTGGAGGCACGGGGGAGTCAACGAGAGCAGCGGCATCTGCTCCGCAGGCCAAGAAGCAGGAGCGTGGAGGAGGAGAGGCGCTCAACAACCTCTTCCCCTCCCCACCAAGTAGAAACCATCACAGTCCCCCTTGGCGTCCCCTCCCCCTGGGATGGGGTGACGGCTGGGATGACGTGACACTCGGCCTTGGGGAAGGAGCTGAGCATCCTTTTAAAGAAAAGGATACATAATCGTCGTGCAGCCCCCGCTACCGTTTGAGCCTCTGAGTCAGAACTGAAGAGCCCTGGAGCGTGACGTTCCTTCCAGAAGGAAATTACCTTGGCTGGATCAGGCGGCAGGGAGGGAGGGAGGAGAGCCCAGCAAGCTGATGCCCTCTTGTCGCTACCCCCCCTCCAACCCCGTGTCCGATGGGCTTTGCGCCTGCCGTGCCGAGTCGCTCTGAGCTGCCTGGGGCTACCTGGCACTGATGGAGGGCAAAGATCCTGTGTCGTCTGCCAGGCACTTCAGGGCTCTGTAAAACCTCCAGGGTGAAATTCACCTCTGCCAAGGGGACGACAAGCCCAGGCCTTCGCTTTCGCAGCAAGAGGGCGATGGCTGAGATCAGTCCTGAGCATCTGGAGCCCGTGGTCCAGGGGTTATAGGTGTTGTTCCAGCCCTACGTGCATGGCAGGGAAGGAGGCACCAGAAGCAGCACGTGGTGTTTGTAGGTGGCTAATGGGAGGGGGAGCTGTATTTTGGGAACCCCTTGTTCAGATGGGTCCTAGCTTGACCCATGACCCCTCTTCTGGCCCCGCAGAAAGCAGATTTCAAGAAAATTCAAATTTGAACGTGGAATTTAGAGTGATCCACACCAGCCAAGCCTTGTCCTTTAATGAAAGTAGAGCCAGTCTTCTCCCCACCAGCAGCTAGCCCCTCTCACCTTGCACTGACCCCCACCCCTCCTGGTTCTCTTCCAGGACAGGTGCCTGACGAGGAGGCCGGGCAGAACGGGCAGAGCCGCAGCAAGGTGCTGCCCAAGCCAGTGTGTATGAATGGGACGGAGCCAGGGCAGCTGAGCACCAAATCGAAGGCAGAGCGGCGGGCCAGCGCCTCCTCCAACCCCTCCCGCAAGGCCTGCTCCGCCAGCAGCAAGATCCGCAAGCTCTCCACCTGCAAGCAGCAGTGAGCCCGGAGTGCTGCGCTCCTTGCAGGTACGGCTGGACCTCCTAGGCTCGTGGGCTACACGGCCCTGTGGGGGTGGGGGGTGCTGTGGGGACGGTCTTGGTGCGGACCCTGGCTGTGTAACCCCAAGGCACTCTGGGTAGAAGGATGGACCTGGACCCCCCAGTGATGATGGATGGGGGGAGGGATGGCCCTGAGGCTGGTGCATGTCTCGGAGATGCCACCCCAATGAACACAGCCTGACTGATCCCAGGAAGGGTGAGGGGTCCTGGTCAGGGCAGTCTGAGCCCTGGGAAACCCAAAGGTGGGGCACTGTTCTCTGCCTGAGAGGGTCTGAGCTGTGGGGAGGGGGGTGGGCTGCTTTGCTTTCTTCACTTGGGTACCACAGGGCTGGACCCAGGCCTGGACCTGCCTCCACTGGTTCCTGCCCTGTCACCTGGTGCTAGTTCCTGGTGCCAGAGCTGTAGCACTGACTCCCACCTGAATGCCATACCAGGCTCCCAGGAGCTTTAAACCACATCCTCCTCCTCCCGCGCCCCCCAGGCGGCCACTGACGGGCACTAGAGGACAGGTCAGTCTGATGCCTGTCAGTCGGCATCAGAGGATAAGGAGTTACAAAGGCAGCTATGGACAGGAGGGGTTGGGATGCCCAGGCAGGGGCCGGTCGAAGGGCAGCGTCTGTCCAGAGAGCCAGCTTCCTGGGGCAGGGTGCTGCCGCGGGGCAGCCCAGG